CACTAGTCCCCTAAAGCGCTAAGTTTCGGACCTAAATTTCTCCTTTGCTCTTTAGGGATTTTACTAATTTCTTAAAATGATGTGAGGATTTACGCTTTCTAAATTTAGAATTGCGTAGCATTAATTGCAAACAATGTTTCACATTCAATCGTCAGTTTTACCAAAGAGAAAGAGCTGTCTAGTTTCACTACGTTTTGTAGCCACATAATTCATTAAAACTGTCATAATTATTATTATTTTTTACATTGGAGGGGAAAGTCGTCTCTACTTAACACAATGGAGCTACACTGTGAGGAAACAGCAACCCCTCAGTCAGCGTTGCATTCACAGTGCTTTATACTGACTTCGGACTCTTTTTGGTGACAGTTTTCATTTAATAGAGTTCCCACAATTCTTAGCGTGGCAGGAAGCAATTAGACCTACTTCACTGGGTGACAATCCACCTGTGGTTCTGAGCTGCAGAACCACGCTCAGCTGTGCAGTTTGTACCTCCTCTCCGAGGGACACCACAGCAATAAACAGTAAATAAATAAATAACAGTAAAAAAAGAAACACTTAATAGTTTAAATTCACACTCTTATTTTGAAAAGAACAGAGTTCCTATTCTGTGTCCTGTAGCCTGAATGCGTTGCTTCAGTTTTACAACAAATAGTTTAAAATTACGAATATATCTGCATGTTTTCTTACCGAAGCCCTACCATAAACATAAGAAAATGACCAAGAAGTAGCAGAACTAGCAATCCACAACTATTTTGTTTTAACACCATTATTTTAAAGTCTGTTTCAACAAATTACCTCCCCAAACTGCGAAGACATATTCTAATCTGTCAAAGAAAATGATCTTACCACTAGATGGCAGTAAAGTGCTGACTTTACTCTTACCTGAATGTTTTCTGGTAAATAATAATAATCTTCTGCTTTATATTTAGCTTCCGCTATGTGCTTTTGAACTTGTGGACCTAAATAATTTGACTAGTGCTTTAAAAATTGCACAACTAAATTTTGAATTTGTGCTGCCCACCTGTGTAAACTGCACACCTCACAAATGGACAGTGGGGGTTAATTATGCTAACAGCTAATAGCAAAGCTAACATTTCATTTAGCAGATTGRCATTTTTGCTAACCAAGACCAATTAGCTTCCACTAAATTTAGTTCTGCTAAATTGAAGTCCGCTAACAAAAACATCTATTCCCTCACACATGCGGTGCTTTTCGTGTGCCTTTTGTGTGCTTGTAGCATCGTTAKCATTTTTCTGTGTTCTCCCGCCTGTGATGCAGATTGAGTGAGCCGCCTTCGTCCACTCAAATCCTTCTAACATGGACAGAAAGGATGATTTTGGCTAAAGAAAATACCCTAAAGCACTTTGGGAAATGTATAGTTTCATCTCGGTGGATTAATGATTCAGAGGCAATAGCATTTGTTAGCATTAGCTTCCTTACAATTAGCTACAATTAGCAACTAGTTAGCATTTTCTTACCTTTTTAGTGGTTTAGCGTTTGCATAGCTAGTTTTTTAGTTAGCGGATTGGCAGTTACCGAAGCTAACTTTAATGTAAGCTGTGAAAATACTGTCAGCAAACTCAAGCATGCAGGAGATTATTATATGTGCCTATTTCTGTGACTAATTTCTGCCACCCACTCTGGCTCTGCTCTTGAGTRAAGATTTGACAGAAAGGTTGTGAACGGTTAATATCTTACCTGTAGTAGATACTGTAGCTCTTTAAATGGTCAAGGATAAAGTAGGGGGGAAGGTGCCTTTGTGAAACTCTTTACAAAAAGCAGCTGCCTTCAATCCTCTGACCGTTTATAAATCAGTGACGGAGTGGGCCATATCCCACACAGACGTGAGGTTTTAGACAGGAAGCAAGTTTCGTAGAACCATAAGAGCAGAACTCAGCTGCGTTTACATGGATCTGTATGAACTAAATGAGCTGATGAACTCTGTAGTGATCCTCATCGTGTCATCGTGGTTACTTAATCTGTGTCATCACTCCTCTAATGAATCTGCTTATTTTTGTTCAGGCTTTTAAATCTAAGATGAAGACTTTTAAACTGAGTCCAGCTGAATTTTGTCTGATGTCCAGATTCTGGTTCTGGTGATAAAACGGACTGTGGGTGCCGGCCTCAGGGACTTCTGTTTAAAGAACTTGTGACTAAAAATACAAAACATTTCAAATGTTCTGAAAATGAATGAATCCAGATCTGTCCTCTGAACCCTCTCATGTCTGAGGATTTATTAGGTGTTACACAATCAGGACTTGGATTGAGATTATGTAATCTGAGGCCTCAAAGTACCATCAGTGGTTCAGATGTACGACTCAAAGATAGAGGCGAAGTGGTGAAAACAGAACAGTGATCCTGGTGGAACAGTTTTACATGCTTCAATTGCACCACTGTGTGGTTACTGTTAGATTACACATCACAGTATTAATACTGTATTTAATGGTATTTAATAATTTAACCCTGTAGTGGTTCTGAGATTTATTCTGTCATGACAAGTTGTTCATCTTGAAAAAAAACCTTCATAGCTTTTAAAAAGAGCATTAATTATAAGTTGAAATGTCCCTTTTGGTTAAGTTTCAGACTTTAGGTTTTATACTTCTTTTTTTTGTTACAAAATCTGTTACAGAAAGGTTTAAGAAGCATATTGCACTTTTTAAATTAGCTCAGGATTAAAAGCTTTAGCTCTGTAAATACTAGTTTTTGTATTTTTTGTAAGATTTTTTTTTTAAAAAACAAAGTGAGTTTCTATAAACAAATCTCAACAAAAATCACCATCATGAATTTCTGGCAAGTTAAACACTTCAGTTTTGTTTTCGACTTTCTTACATTTGTTTCATGATATAATTTAGGAAGTAAAAAATGTAAAAATTTATTGTCAGTGCTTTGATTTCATTTTACACATCTATAATTAAAGCACCCAGAAGCTCTAAAAAACTGAGAAGGGGGTCCCTGCAGTACATGGTGTTTTGTGGGCGGAGACGGCTCTACTCGTGATTGGCAGAGGTCTTGATGTGGGCGGAGACGGCTCTACTCATAATTGGTGGAGGTCTTGAAGTGGGCGGAGACGGCTCTACTTGTGATTGGCGGATGTCTTGAAGTAGGCGGAGATGGCTCTTCTCGTGATTGGTGGAGGTCTTGTGGGCGGAGATGGCTCTACTCGTGATTGGCGGAGGTCTTGTGGGCGGAGACGGCTCTACTCGTGATTGGCGGAGGTCTTGATGTGGGCGGAGACGGCACTACTCGTGATTGGTGGATGTCTTGAAGTGGGCGGGGATGGCTCTACTTGTGATTGGTGGATGTCTTGAAGTGGGCAGAGATGGCTCTACTCGTGATTGGCGGAGGTCTTGTGGGAGGAGACGGCTCTACTCGTGATTGGAGGATGTCTTGAAGTGGGCGGGGATGGCTCTACTTGTGATTGGTGGATGTCTTGAAGTGGGCAGAGATGGCTGTACTCGTGGTTGGTGGAGGTCTTGTGGGCAGAGATGGCTCTACTCGTGATTGGCGGAGGTCTTGATGTGGGCGGAGACGGCCCTACTCATGATTGGCGGAGGTCTTGTGGGCGGAGACGGCTCTACTCGTGATTGGTGGAGGTCTTGATGTGGGCGGAGACGGCCCTACTTGTGTGGGCGGAGATGGCTCTACTCCTGATTGGTGGAGGTCTTGATGTGGGCGGAGACGGCCCTACTCTTGGAGTAGCTTTGTCTAGTTGGGCAGGAAGCAACGTGTTTTTTAAGATTAATCTTAGTCATAACTTGGAAAAGGAAGGTGCTAGCTACATGAAATTTGAACGCCTTACATATGGAGGAATGAGTAATAATTTGGCATGGTCAAAACATCCCTAACCAGCCTGTAAAAATATTGCTAAAAATCAATATGAATATAAATATTAGTCTTAATTTGAGACAGGAAGAAGCTAGTTGCATGCAATTTTAAGTTAAAATGTGTTTACATTTTCGCAGTAATTTTTATTTGAGTGATTGTTCTGTTTTTTAAACTGTACCTAGACAGTCAATAAATCATTTTTTTACTATTATTACGACCTCTTTTAAGTTGCCCCAGAAGACATGTCAATCCGACCAATCATGGTTAGGGAAAACTCCGCCCACACACTAACTTCGTCAATCACTAGGGTCAACTCCGTCCACTTTCAGGCCCCCACCAATCATGAGTAGGGCTGTCTCCACCCACATGAAGACATCCACCAATCACGAGTAGGGCTGTCTCTGCCCACATCAAGACATCCACCAATCACGAGTAGGGTCGTCTCCGCCCACTTCCAGGCCTCCACCAATCACGAGTAGGGCTGTCTCCGCCCACAAGACAACATGAACTGCAGAGACCCCTACTGGAAAACACTGCTCACATGGAGAAACTGAGTTAAATAAAAGATTCCAGCCTTGTATATAATCATTATATACCTTTACACTATATTATAATGTAAAGATTTTATCATAGGTATTATTTAGGATGCTGTATTTGATCATAAAAAAGTGTTATTTATTTTAAAACATTGCAAATCAAACTGAATCAGATAAATTCATGGGACAAATATAAACTGAAGGTAATAAATTGGGAAGTAAAGTCTTATTTTCACATAAATGATCTCATCAGTGCTATGGTTCTCAAACTTTTTCCCGCTTAGGAGGAAGAAGTCGTACGTGCCATGTCCAACAAATCGAAATTATTCTGCTGATAAAAGCTAAAACCGCAGAGGCCGTTCTGTCTCAGTGGAAGAACTTTACTCTGTTTCTGCAGCTTCTTATTGATTTTACTGAAAATATTTGCATCAATCGTTTCAGACAATAACATCATCAGAAGTGGCCTCGTTGTCGTTTGCTTTGACGGCTTTTTTTTTTAACCCGAATCGTTTTAAAATATTTGTTTAAAATACGCGAAAACAAAAGACGTGCAGTTTTATGTGTGCAGCTGATTTCTACAGCTCTAAAGTTAAAGCTGATTTTTGTGAATGCAACATGTTTCAACTGGTTTTACTTCAAATTTTCTAAAACTGTGTGATTTAAAAAAGAATACAAAAAAAAACAGAAAACTAAACAGATCAATGTCCTACAAAAGAAGTGTTTTAATACACTTTGTAGATAAATGATGCGTTAAACTGTCAAATTCAACACATCACAAAAACAATTATCATTTTTTATCCTCTTGAAACATTTTAAAACACAAATGCTGGTTAGACTTAACAAAACTTGTAATATCTTCAAAAGTGAAAAGAATTGAGCAAATGCTGAACAGAATCATGTCAATAAAGTTGTTGTTTTTGAACAGCAGCAAAGTTTCAGGTGGTTTTCTGCTTCAGGAGACGCTGAAAGTGTCAGAGATGTTCACAAAATAAAAAAATAAAAAATTAAATGTTTCATTATAAACTGGATCTGAGACAATAAGTCATTTCATCGTTTAAAAAACATTTGGCTGCTTTTATTTTACTCACATGTTTTTATTTATACACAGCTAATAGAGTTGCACAAACTTTCCAAGATTTTTTTTGTTTACGGTTCAGATTATTCTGAGCAGCTCTGTAAACTGTTCCTGAGAAGCAACAGCGTGTCCCGATCCACCGATTCGGACACGACTTACTGCCGAGAGCGATCCGGAGGCACCACCGAGCTGCCCAGAGGGTCCTGCTCCGCGGGAACGGACTTCTCACCGGTGCTCCGATCCTCCTCCTCGTCGAAACTCCAGCCGGTGATGACGCTCATCGAGATTTCCCCTAAAACGGCACAAAAACACAAAAAAGTGAACTGGCAACCTGCGTAAAATACGTCACGCGTCGGACTTCCAGAAATATTTGATTTATAACTAGAATTTCCAATGAGAACAGATAAAAGTCAGATACTTACTCATTTCACTTTCTGTGGGAATTTCTGTCCCGTAATGAAAATTATTCTCCTTTTCTGCTGATTTCTTGAAGTTCTCCAGCTAAAACAAACCAACAGACAAACAAACAAACCTGTACATAGCGACATCACCGAGGTGCGGAACGTGAAATACTGTATTATAAAAACGTGACACGTTCACCTCTGTACAGATGGAGTCCGACAGGCTGCCGGTGAGAAGACCTTTGCTGCCCAACTTGCAGAAACTGCAGAAGAAGAAAAAAGCTGAAACAATTATTGTTCTCTAAAAAAAAAAAAAAACTAAAAATGAAATGTAACTATTAAAAGTCGTATTACCTTGAAGTTTGTGATAATGCTGGTTCACAATCAATCGTGGTATCTTGGCTCTTAAAAAAATTAATGAAAAGAGAAGTTTTACATGTAAAACAACTAAACTTATGAAAGACTACGAAGACCCTGAAGGGACATCTGATTATGTTTTTCTTTATTGTTCCCAGGAGTTGGAAATATAATGAAAATAAATGTAGACATATAGTGTTTTAAAACACGTATAGAGAGAATAAATCCTCAAAATGTCCCCCTCCTGCTGGAGAAAAGTTACGTTGTGTCACAGGATCATTTCCTCCTCCCTCCCGAGCGAAGCTTTAACAACCGTAGTTTTTTAAACCCAAGTTGTTGGAGAAAAAAAACTTTTTTTGTGTGTTTTGTTACCCACAGAGATGATAAAAAAAAAAGATGTGGACGTTCGTTCAGTCATAAATCCATCTTGTTAATGCAACAGTTCTGCACTGAGAGCAGCAGCTGATAAGTTCAGCGGGCAGGAGCTCATTGTATGGCAGGCAGATATTACATTTATTTGGCTTCACCACACTTACATTCCAGTTATCTGCAACTGTTTTATGACTGGACTATGTTGCAGCTTAAGCCTCTTAAGGTCCTGTCACACTATAACATTTTAGACAACTTTGCCAATTTAGAATTTTTTTATATCTAAATAACTAATTTTACTTGAAGTTCTGGTTATAACATCCACTTTATTTTGATATTGTTGAAAATTTGAGGAATGTTTTATTTGTTGTTGAAACTGTTTTGCAATATATATAAAACATTCTTTTGTACTTCTGTTATGTTCATTTGCACTACAGCAAAAATGCTGGGTTTGATTATGATTACAGTTTTCTGCTAAATAAATGCTCTAAAAATTACATTATCTTTGATTTTTATGATCATTTTCTATCGCGATATATACCATTACTGTGACGGGATTCAATTTATACCCTGATATGAATTTGAGATCACACCACCCAGCTCTTCTTATAAGTATTTAAGACTCCATGAATTCAGTTTCAATTCTGTTCATTATATTATTAAAGAACCTCAAACACAACTGTCTGTTCCATTGTTGTGTTGTTGTCTGTCTAAAGCATTTGTTGTGCCCGCTGGTTTATCACAGTCACATGTGCAGCATTATACAGGGGTTACTTTAATTTAGCTTCGGCATAAATATATCCCAGGCAATATCACCGCTAACTTCACTAACTTCTCATCCTGTTTCAGTAACTGCATATCAATAAAAATTTCATTCAACAGAGTCGATACAAAACATCACAGCCCAGCCACCCTGCGGAGGAAACCCATTTCGGCCGCTTGTATCCGGGACCTCGTTCTTTCGGTCATGACCCAAAGCTCATGACCATAGATGAGGGT